AAACGAAGCTGTACGGCTATGAAATTTTCCACAGTCAAGTAAAAAACGAAACCAATAAAGCCCACAGAAAAAAAGTGAAAGTAAAAGCCTTTCAGCGACAGATACAATCTTTAACCTCTGAAACGCGATTTCTCAAATTTCGAGTTTACAAAAGTTTGTTCGATTACGAAGTAAGTACTGTATTTTGTTGTATATAGAGTTTGGATGGGAAGATCATCCATCCTGCTAATTTATTTATTTATATCTGTAAATCGAGAAAAAATTTCTTCCCGTGTTTTCCACCTTGTTTTGAAAATGAAAACAGCATTGGATAATATAAATAAAAAACTGTACTGTGCAAAACATTATATGATAAATTAGATTTTGAATTCGAAATTAGATTCATATCAGTCTTTCTGTTTGTTGAAAACATTGCTGCTCAAACTGTTTTTAAAAACTCAACCAAAATGACAAATTTTCGAGTCTGAAATCGTAAACTCTGTCTGAACCTCATGGACAACATTTAAATGTTCTAGTGGGTCCGATCGCTCAAATACAAACGAAAGTTGAACATTTATTCTTCCATGAAAATTTTTCTAATTTCAAGGGTAGAAACGAATTATTCAATATATAATGATTTTTATTTCGAGAAAGCTCTTAATATAAGCAAATAGTGGGTGTGACGTATACCAGTCCAACGCAAATACTCCAATACTGTTTACTACGCTGTTGCAAATAAAATCAATCATGACGTCTTTTATGAAGTTTGTCATTTGAAGATTTATTGACTAAATTGCTAAATACGGATTGGTTTAGGCCGACAGAAATTTACATGAAAACATCTTATGGACGCCATGCCACATTGTTTCAGGCATTGGACTTGGTATTACGTATTAAAAATATTATTCCTGCTTCCCAGGATGCAAATTGAATATGTGAGCCGAGCTAGGCGCCGCGCAGACGCCAAGCTCTCCAACCCTGGTTTAACCTCAATTTCGAAGAGCAAATTCGCCAATATTACCGGCAACTATACACCAGGACGACTCATGCTTTAGATTTTAGTCAACGAAGAACAGACTATTTGTATGTTCTACCCATTCTAGCCAAGTAATCATATAAAAACTGACAACGCATGAATTTATTCGTATCAACGTATATAAAACAAAATTGGACCTAACTTAATTATTACCTTGTCATAATTCATAATCTGTTTATATTTATCATAACTAAATGTTCGAAACTTCTTTCGTGCTTCTAGTCCGCCTTTTACATTGCGACCATAAAATGAAAATGTTCCCATATACGCTTGTAGTTATCGGTACACATTTATATTTGATCATATTCACAAAATACCATAACCATTCCATGTATTTTATCCACCAGTAATTACTTATCGATTTTAATCGGTAAGTATGTTGATAGGTATTTGTATGTCTGTTTGTCTGTTAGATGCACACGATATCTCCCGAAAGCCAGATTGGATCTGCTCCAGATTTTGTATGTGCATTCATCTCATCTCGGACCAGAAGCCTATCGATTTTGGGCGAATTATGTAGTATAATTAGCGAGTTATTAATTAATTAGTGATGGGACACAGGGTGTCACTATGGAGTAAGAGCGCTGTTTCGGGGATCCCCTAACTTTCGATCGATAAGTCTTCGGTCTCTGACCGATCTTCTCGTTTACATTGTTATATTGAACATGATTGGACGAACAGGCATTTCGTCTTCTTTTTATTTACCGAATCTTTGCATTGTCGCATTGGCTGTAGAGTAGGGTGCCGTAATTCAACGATAAGGTTGATAAGCTACAAGCGGACAAGAGAGTGATGTACCTGCGGTCAGGGAGATAAATTTAACTAACTAATGTTGTGTAAACCATGATGTAAATGGGCCAATTTGTTTAGACTCCAATCATCCATAGAGCTGCAAGAACGTACCCGCGCTAATCATATTTTGACGACACGTGTCAATCATCCGGGTCAGAAAGTTTTTTCACGAGATTATTTCTATTTTTACTTGTAGTTCGATAGTTTACTCGCTTCTGTGTCCATTAGACTAGACTAGGTTATATTCTTGTTAAATACATTACTTTGCTATTCAAAAGAACTGGCAGTTGAAAGCCCCATTGTTTGCTTAGAATAAAAGTGTCTAAATTACAATGTTTTCCCCATTCGAGAAGACCTATTATATATAAAAGCAAATTCTAACAATGCTTTCTCACTATACTCATGTATTTTGTGCAATATTGTTTTTCATTGTTTTAGGTGATTAAAACAGTTTTCTGTCACATTTTTCAGCGGACTGTGTGGCAAACAGGATTAACTTAGCATTTGCAAGAGAATACGATTTCAAAGTAACTGCGATTCAAATCATCAATCACAAGTTCATCCATTTAAGATTAATGGAGCAAACAGTTGAATATGAATTGTTGCAAGAACTATTTATAGGAATACATCTTGTGGACGTGATGACCCTCTGGTTAATGCTTTGAACCAAAATGGGTTGGCATGGACCGTTCCCCGACCTTTGACCCCCGATAAATTTTTCCCATACTTTACCTATGCAAAATTTTCAAGGCTATTTTAAGAGTGCTTTTGCGAGTTGGCGCCTGTAAAATGGGGTATGTGTTTCAAGCCATCATTATGATTTATCGCACACAGCAATCTGTTTTTTTAAAGTGCCGGTAAAGAATTTTAGCCTAGTCTATCACAGCTATTTCTACACTAAATTTTTCTTACTGCAATTAAATTAGAACTCCTAGGAAGACAGAATGATCATTGAAATATCTGATTTATATTTAAGTTTCCTAAACACAACTGAAAACTAACGAAAAGAGTTCAAAAACGCGAAAACGAGGTAATGTTTACGGCCACGCTCGAAAATCTGTCTGAGTGAGAAAAGTGTATGAGCGGATGCGAAAAGGAAGCATTGTACGTCACTTTTTTATCTCGCTGATTGGCCAATTTCACGAAGTAAACAAGGAAGTCGATGCTCGGGGAAAGGTCCAATGCGTGTTAAAGAACTGAAGTTCAACCCTTATTGCCACTACCTATCCAGGGTGCAATAAATTGGGTAGGCAGATATGCTGGATATACATTGACTATGACACCAAATGTTTGGGATTTGTCCACTCCTTATAGCAAGCCTAATGCAGTGCATAGTGGATATCAGTAGATCAACAAGCAAATATGCCCCAATAAAACAATTCATTCCATATTAAATATACCACTACTTTTTCATTTTTCTCATTCTGTAAAGCAGCATGTCCAAACTTCAATACAAGAAGGGCAGATAAAAAGAACTAGGTGGAACCGCGGGATGCACCTCTATTTAACATAAACTCCATAGTAGTTGCAGGCACGAAAAATAGCTTCTTCTTGTTACTTATCCATTTCGATCGGTAAGTATGTAGATAGGTATTTGTCTGTCTGTCAGTCCGTTTGTCTGTATGTCTGTCTGTTAGATGCACGCGATATCTCACGAAAACGAGATTGAATCTGCTCCAGATTTTTAATGTGCATTCAACATATCTCGGACCAGAAGCCTATTGATTTTGGGCGAATTATGTCGTATAATTAGAGAGCTATTAATTAATTAGTGACACAAGGTGTCACTATGGAGTAGGAGCGCTATTTTGAGGAATCTCCTAACTTTTGATCGATAAATCCTCGGTCTCTGACCGATATTTTCGTTATTGGTCTTATGGCATCATTAAAGGTCCTTGAAAAAATGATGTGTGAAGGGGCATAAATTTCTGAAAAAAACTGCTATTCAAATTTATTGGGACACCAACTACAAACGAATTCAAAGAAAAATTTGCAGCTGGCTTCTTATCCCGAATACTTTTCCCAAATTTGACTTAATGAAAATGCAAGTTATTCGAAGTTCATTTTTGAAGTGTTCGTCTGTCAGGACCAATCGATAGAAAGATTCGATGACGCCAATTTGCCAATTTAAGAAAAAATTTATTAAAAATTAGAACATCTCGTGGGCTGCACAACTTTCTTTGTGGGCCGTATGTGGGCCACGGGCTGCAGGTCACACATTCATGCTGTAGTAACTGAAGACTAATTTTTCCCGAAAAATGATAATGTCAACGGAAAACAGTTTCGAATTCAATGTAAAGATTAAAATAGGTCATTATTAATTAATGTGGTGATGTTGTTGGTCATGTTCAACGGTTTTTTGCTGTCTGCTGAGCCAACAAAAAATGCGTTATAATTTCCATGAAAACATGATAGAAATTCCGTTAAGATGATTAGGTCGCTAAAGATTGTAACGTGCCTTGCAAGATAATTAGCGCTGTTTCATTGTTGACAGATCTATAAAAATTATCATATATAACAGGTGACCAACATGTCGATCGCCACGTCTCGAGCAGTCGATCGCGTCTGATGTTGAGTGAATTTTATTGAAATACCCCCCCCCCTCCCCAAATTGCCTCGAAACAGTTGTGTTTTTACAACAGAAAGAATACAATACTTTACATGCGCAAAATACAATATACACATACAGTATTTGAGTCTGGGCAGGCAAGATAAAGTATATTATTACGTAACTAATGCAAGTTTTTCCGCTGCCAAGGTTTGAAGATGAAGTGCGGAATATCGCGTGTCTAGACTCTAGTCTAGACTGACAAACGATCCTACAATAACTTCCGCAGTATGTGAGAGTTTGTATCCAGGCCGGTTAGCGACTGTCATTATGGCAACTTCATAATAGCGACATAATCAGGTATGCGACATTTCCAACAGCGACTGTCAAAATGGCGACCGCATTAAAACAGCGACTGTTATGATAGCGGCTTAACTCGTGTTCACTGAGTTGAATTCACTGAGTCGAATTTCCTGGTCGGTCGTTGGAAGGTAAACGCTATGTCGTGTCACATTAATTTTAAGGTCGTCAGGGTCAGGGTTTGTCGCTGTTGTGGCAGTCGCTGTTTTAAATGAAACGCTGCCGTGTAGTCGCTCTATTGACAGATGACAGTCCAACGCTTTCGTGTGGTCGCTCTATTGACAGTCGGTGTTCTGACAGTTGCTATTTGGAAACCTAGCCGTGAGAGTTATTGTCTCACCCCAAGAGTAGTGTGATAAAATTTATTTCCAATCGTAGCAGTGGCATCAAATGCCCAATTTGTTCTAATTCTAAGCAAGCGAAGAATCGTGTTTGGAGGAAATTGTAAATTAGATACTGAAGTTTGAGTAGTCATGTAGCATTTACGGTTTGAGTATATTAATTTCTCGCTGTTTGGATAATACATAGATGATTTCTTGAAGAATTTTCAACACTTACGACTATAAAAAAGCACGTCCTTTGTCTTAATTGTATGATTTGAATAAATCTTAAATAAATAATGAAATATTTACTATTTAATATGTGAGTCTAGATATTTAGTAGGTTTTATTCCGGAAAACACTCAATCATCTTCGTATCAAAATGTCCCAAGGAAGACTAGCAGATCAATGCACTATTGTAACCGGTGGTAGTAGTGGAATAGGTCGGGCGATCTGCCAAGTTTTTGCCAGGGAAGGCGCTAGTGTTGCAATTCGGGCCGAAACCTTCAAAGACTTTCTGAAACTATGAATACTTTGCCAACTAATCATGGAAATAAACATTGCATAATACAAGCTGATGTGAGCTCTGCTGAGCAAGTAGCAAGAGCTTTTGAAGAAGCAACGAGACAGATGGACAAGAAGATCACAATCCTTGTAAATAACGCAGGGATATTGAGATGTGATTTCGTTGATGAACTCAAAGAAGACGTTTTTGATGAAATGATAAAAATAAATTTGAAAGGACATTTCCTGATGGCCAAAGAATTTGTGAAATCACTATCGGAAGTGGACAAAACTCAAGAATTTTGTTGCATAGTCAATGTATCCAGCATAATTGGCAGAAGAGGTATTCCATTATATGCTGGATATTCAGCCACTAAAGCTGGAATAATTGGGTTAACGAAATGTATCGCATCCGAATATTCAAAACACAAAATCCGCTGTAATGTTGTTGTGCCGGGAGTGATTGAAACACCTATGATTGATATTGTAACTGAAGATATTAAAGTCAATGCTATTGCAAAAATACCAATGCAAAGATATGGTGAACCCAAAGAAGTAGCAAATGCCTGTTTGTTTCTGGCATCAAATGAAAGTTCATATGTCAATGGGGCTTGTTTGGAAGTTACAGGTGGATTGTGAGGATGAACATATAACTTCACATTTTTATTTTGGCATTCGTTCGGCGAGCCAACCTATGTTATATATATATATATATATATATATATATATATATAATTTAACTCATCGCTTACAATTTTATATTATATTCTTATTATGACTTCTTAGTTAGGCTTCCCGCTGCTTGTCAGCAGGGAACCTATTGTATTCCTGTGTTTTATTATTATTATTTATTTATTATTATTAGGCTTCCCGCTGCTTGTCAGCAGGGAACCTATTGTATTCCTGTGTTTTATTATTAGGCTTCCCGCTGCTTGTCAGCAGGGAACCTATTGTATTCCTGTGTTTTATTATTATTATTTATTATTATTTATTATTATTTATTATTATTATTTTTTTTTCAAATTGGTCCTACAAACTTGAAATTCACCTCAAATGTGCAGAAGTTCTAAGCTAGCAATAAAATGCAAATTTTATGCATGACTGACCACGCTTTCACGCTCCAGTTAACAAAACGCGTATTCAGTTTTTTTGCGATTTCTCAAAATTGATACATGGTATTGGGTTGAAATTCATAACAATGATTGATGGACATGTTCCGGATACAATATGTCAAGGATACGCATGAGTGATCTCGGCGATACGCTCCAGTGAGCAATATAGGATTTTACATTTTCATCTTCTTCTTGAGAACGACAATACTTAGAGACTTGAAATTTACATCACATGCAGACAATAAGTCCCCCATCATAGTTTGCAAATTTTATGCATGACTGACCACGCTTTCACGCTCCAGTGAGCAAAACGCGTTTTCAGTTTTTTTGCGATTTCTCAAAATTGATACATGCTATTGGGTTGAAATTCATAACAATGATTAATGGACATGTTCCGGATACGATATGTCAAGGATACGCATGAGTGTCCTCGGCGATACGCTCCAGTGAGCAATATAGGATTTCACATTTTCATCTTCTTCTCGAGAACGACACTACTTAGAGACTTGAAATTTACATCACATGCAGATAATAAGTCCCCTATCGTAAACTGCAAATTTTATGCATTACTGACCACGCTTTCACGCTCCAGTGAACAAAACGCGTCTTCAGTTTTTTTTTACGCGGGAAGCCTGTTAAAGCTGCACGCAGCTCTAGTTATTATTATTTATTTATTATTATTTATTTTTATCATTTTTTTTTCAAATTGGACCTACAGACTTGAAATTCACCTCAAATGTGCAGAAGTTCTCAGCTAGCAATAAAATGCAAATTTTATGCATGACTGACCACGCTTTCACGCTCCAGTGAGCAAAACGCGTCTTCGGTTTTTTTGCGATTTCTCAAAATTGATACATGCTATTGGGTTGAAATTCATAACAATGATTAATGGACATGTTCCGGATACGATATGTCAAGGATACGCATGAGTGACCTCGGCGATACGCTCCAGTGAGCAATATAGGATTTTACATTTTCATCTTCTTCTCGAGAACGACACCACTCAGAGACTTGAAATTTCCATCACATGCAGATAATAAGTCCCCCGTCATAAATTGCAAATTTTATGCATGACTGACCACGCTTTCACGCTCCAGTGAGCAAAACGCGTCTTCAGTTTTTTTGCGATTTCTAAAAATTGATACATGCTATTGGGTTGAAATTCATAACAATTATTAATGGACATGTTCCGGATACGATATGTCAAGGATACGCATGAGTGACCTCGGCGATACGCTCCAGTGAGCAATATAGGATTTTACATTTTCATCTTCTTCTCGAGAACGACACTACTTAGAGACTTGAAATTTACATCACATGCAGATAATAAGTCCCTCATCATAAATTGCAAATTTTGGGCATGACTGACCACGCTTTCACGCTCCAGTGAGAAAAACGCGTCTTCAGTTTTTTTACGCGGGAAGCCTGTTAAAGCTGCACGCAGCTCTAGTTATTATTATTATTATTATTATTATTATTTTTTTTTTTTCAAATTGGTCCTACAAACTTGAAATTCACCTCAAATGTGCAGAAGTTCTCAGCTAGCAATAAAATGCAAATTTTATGCATGATTGACCACGCTTTCACGCTCCAGTGAACAAAACGCGTATTCAGTTTTTTTGCGATTTCTCAAAATTGATACATGGTATTGGGTTGAAATTCATATCAATGATTAATGGACATGTTCCGGATACAATATGTCAAGGATACGCATGAGTGACCTAGTCGATACGTTCCAGTGAGCAATATAGGATTTTACATTTTGATCTTCTTCTCGAGAACGACACTACTTAGAGACTTGAAATTTACATCACATGCAGACAATAAGTCCCCCATCATAATTTGCAAATTTTATGCATGACTGACCACGCTTTCACGCTCCAGTGAGCAAAACGCGTTTTCAGTTTTTTGCGATTTCTGAAAATTGATACATGCTATTGGGTTGAAATTCATACCAATGATTAATGGACATGTTCCGGATACGATATGTCAAGGATACGCATGAGTGACCTCGGCGATACGCTCCAGTGAGCAATATAGGATTTCACATTTTCATCTTCTTCTCGAGAACGACACTACTTAGAGACTTGAAATTTAAATCACATGCAGATAATAGGTCTTCCATCATAAATTGCAAATTTTATGCATGACTGACCACGTTTTCACGCTCCAGTGAGCAAAACGCGTCTTCAGTTTTTTTGCGATTTCTCAAAAATGATACATGCTATTGGGTTGAAATTCATAACAATGATTAATGGACATGTTCCGGATACGATATGTCAAGGATACGCATGAGTGACCTCGGCGATACGCTCCAGTGAGCAATATAGGATTTTACATTTTCATCTTCTTCTCGAGAACGACACTACTTAGAGACTTGAAATTTACCTCACATGCAGATAATAAGTTCCTCATCATAAATTGCAAATTTTATGCATGACTGACCACACTTTCACGCTCCAGTGAGCAAAACGCGTCTTCAGTTTTTTACGCGGGAAGCCTGTTAAAGCTGCACGCAGCTCTAGTTGCTTATATAAATAGCTTCAAAATCACAATTTATATAAGCAAATAACAGTCTCAAGCGAATACTGCGTGTTTACTATAATCTATTGCGAATAACATCACAAATCATAAAGTATTTGTATGTAGTTCATCATTTATTGAGCAAAGGATTGAATATTATTTGGTTTATGGCAAGAAGAATTTACATGAATCTTGTGAACGCGAGGATCTACTGGTTAATTAAAGCATCGAGCTCGTATCACTTGTTGCTTACCACTTATGTAAAAGGACGTTTTCTGCGTTACCGTACATTAAAAACAAATATGAACCAAGGCTAGAAGTAGAAGATCTCAGGTTTCCGTCTCTCAAATTTGAAATTGGAATCGCAGTGTTGTGCTCTAAACACAGATCCTATAATAATCATTAGGCAGAATAGCGCAAATATTTACAATTTTATATGCTGTGCCTAATTATGTAGATGAAAGCCTAACCTTCAATTTCCCATTCTTGCCATTTTTTTCATTAGCCTATGCTCTGCACTTTCCTTAATTTGATCGCTGCTCAGCAAGTAAAAGCTTTGTGGATCGCGTTGTTCGCTTTGCACAAGCTAGCTATTAGGGTGTTGAAACGTCAGTGGTATAAATAAGAAATTGGTCCTAGGTATAGTCTTTGCAAGGACATTGGAATTGCTTGCACGAACTAGATTAAACAAAATTGAAAACGCGTTTGGCGTGCCCCACACTATTTAAAATTGGAACTTCTCTCGGGCCGCACAATTTTTCCTTGTGTGCGCAGGTCACACATCCATGCTGTAAGATATAAAGACTACTTAATTCCGAAATATAATAATGTCAATGTCAGCAAACAGTTTTGAATCCAGTGTGAAGATTAAAATAGGTCATTATTAAAAAATGTGGTGACGTCGTTGATCATGTTCAACGTTTTTTTGCTGTCTGTTGAGGTTTCAAGAGGGCGTTTAGACTCCAATCATCTTTCATGTGTTACGCCGTACCTAGAATATTGAAACGGCGCACAGAAAGTTTTTTCACGATATTATTTTCATGATGTTACTTGTATTTTCCAAACCCACTTATTTATCCGTAGAGTAAACCATGTTTCTATTAAATACCCTCTTTAGCATGAAATAAATTCTTACAGGTTCATAAGTCCGTATTCTGAATCTGGTAATAATACAGTCAATCAATCGATAATTCTAATTCTCCAGTTGTATCCGAAAATGCCTCGCAGCATTGACATTCACATAAATGTTTCGCGGGAGGCAACATTTATCAAAAGAAAAATCATTATTTTACCAAAATACCAAAACATAGCAAAATGCTCCCCAAACAAAATAAGGAAGGGGTCATAGCTATCTAACATTGATGAACATCTAACATTGAACTTGGCTGCCATATGAAATACGTAATTATGTTCTGGAAAGCATCATTTAATAAAAAATATTTTTCAAAACTGAAGAAAAAAGCATCATTTCCGTTTAAAAGGAATAAGATATATGTGGGGGTAGGCATTTAGTAGGTTTTAATCTGGAAAACACTCAATAATCTTTGTATCGCAATGTCGCGTCAGTGATGGCGTCTTTTAGGAAGTTGATCATTTTAAGATTAATTGAGTAAATTGTGAAATATGGATTGACTTAAGGTGAGAACAGTTTACATGAATACTACTTGTGGGTGCGATAATCTATTGGTTCAGGCCTTGGAATGCCGAGCCAGGAAACGTCTCTATTTACCAAGACAATCAGCTCCTGAAGTATTTATTTTTTCTATTCCTTCTATTCAAGCAATCAAATAAGAACTGACTACGTATGAATTTCTCCATATCAAAATATTTGTCATAGCTAAATTTTTACCTTTCTTGCTTCTAGTCCGCTTTTTACATTGTACTCATTTATATTTGATCATATATATATTTGATTTGATTGGTAAACAGGCATTTCCTCTTCTTGTTTGCCGAATCTTTGCATTGGCGTATTTTCTTATTTGGCTGTAGACTGAGGTGCCGTAAGTCAAAGATTATGTTTATAGGTGGGAGAGAGAGTAATGTCCTGGCGACCAGGTAAATAAATTTGAACACATTGGTGTCGCAGAGGACGAATCGTCACTTTATCGACACATCATGGAGTATTAAATTGCGTAGGGAAAGAGCAAACGAAGCGATTTTTGGCCCTTCAGATATATTACCTACCACACTGTTTACTTATTCATAGTGTTGCCTGCAATGAAAGTGTAATAAAATAACTTATCAAAAGGATCAAACCTACTGGAATCTCTGCACAAGTCCATCGCCATCATGCCCACTCAGCTCCTAAATGTCGTCACCGAATGAAGGTACTCACTCTACAAACAAATATGCAATTGTCTCTTGATGTTACCTTTTTATTGCTTGAAGGTTTCAGTTCCGGGTTTAAAATGAAATATAACGAGTGGTAAAAACCGATGTTGTGTGAACCATGGTGTGAGTGGGCCAACTCGTTTAGACTCAAATCACCCATAAAGCTGTAAGAACGTAATCGCGCTAATCATATTTTGACAGTACGTGTCAATCATACGTGCCAGAGAGTTCTTTCACGAGGTTACTTCTATTTTTACTTTTTGATCGATAGTTGTACTCAATTCTGTGTATGATTAGACTAGACTATATTCCTGTTTAATAAGCTACATGTGTTACACGGAAGTCTGGACGTATTCTATTTTTAGCACTAGTACAGACAAACATTTTTTTAAATTTCATGCCAATCTATATATCCTTTATTAATTCATTAGCAAAACTTTCTAATTAATGCCTAAATTATAATAAAATCTTCAAAACTTGACCTCTTCAAAGTAATAAATAACGACGTATTTACATTGTATACAACATTGATATATTCACGTAATTATTTTGCCGCATGCATCAGTAGCAAAAAATATTTTTCATTTTGGCATCATAGGAAATAGATTAAAATTTAGGCTTTTGAAAGTTAAGTTTCAATATTTTACATTCTGCTAATGTATTTATTCAGAGATAAAAACTCAATCAAGGCATAGGGCGCATAGCATTACTTAGTCTGGTAAAATTGTAAACAGTATAAATTATAGAATTTTACATACTTCAAGTCCTAATAAACCCTCTTCAAATGTTTTAGTGGCAGACATCTACAAATGGCAGTCGAACATTTATTGCGTCATACACTACTTTTAAACAAAAGTAGGAACAAGTAATTCAATCTAATAAATCGTCCCAATCAATCATTAAATAAATCAATAAGAATGGCTCATCCACGAAAGTAAGTTTAATTCAAAACCTATTAATTAACTACCCTACAAGACACGTGATTACGTATCGAAAAGCATCATTTATTAAACAATATTTATAAAAATTAAAGAAAGTAGCAACACTGCTATTTAAATATAATGATTTGCTCTACGTGAGCATTATAGTTGAGTGTACTCTGCGAAACACCAAATCATCTTCGTATCACAATGTCGCAAGAGAGACTAGCAGGTCAATGCACTATTGCAGGGGTGGCCAACCTATGGCGCATGCGCCAAACGTGGCGCATTGCATGATTAGAGGTGGCTCATTGCATCTGTAACCCTTTTCATGCCAAAATTGTTAATTGCACTTGGCTTCTCCACGCCAAGCCGTTTTTTTTGCGATTAACATGGTGACTTTTGATTGTACCTAAAATCTATTCTCCTTACTCCATGTCGGCCACTTACGGCTTGTTGGAATTAGAAACAACAGACGATTATCGACGTTAGCTTTTGGACGGACTTTATGACATTCATTCTAGACTTTTAGCAAAAATTAGTAAAATTTACTATTTTTTCCCTACTGAATTAAAAAGTTCAGAACTTCTGGAAAAATAGAAAATCGTCATTTATCAGCTTGAAACATGGATTTTCCATTGCCCAGACTTCCCAAATATCTCCCAATAACCATTGAACAACCAGTTGAATTGCCCAAGCCTAAAAAATTCATTATAAATCAACCCACAACATGCTGAAAATGACCCCTAAATACCACCTTTTTCATCCAAACTTCAAATGACCGTTGTCAACAAAAGCGAAGCGTAAAATCGCTTACTGTGACGCAAGTACTAATCTCGAAGAAGCCTGGAGTAAAATCACGCGACGCTAGGCCAAACAGCTGATTAGCAAAGGCCAATTAGAATCGAGGGTAGAGTAGAGTAGATATTGATACTAAAGGCCTGTTGTCACAATATTACGCCTAACTTTACTTCTTAATCGTACCTTTCTCTCTTCGTTGTTAATTAAAAGCAAAGCGAGGTCAAGACTTACAGATTTAAATTTGAAGAATGCACTGCTCCTCTCAGTAACAAACTTAACTCCAAGAATAAAAAAACTGGCGAAAGTAAAACAGCAGCAAAAGTCTCATAAAGGCGGTACTTAAATAAAATTGATCAGTTTTATTTATTATACTTCCTTGCTTAATTTCTATTCATGTGAAGTTGTAAATTGTAAAAACTACATATACGTGTGTATATATGTGTGTGTATTATAAATTTATATAATTTCAACAAGAAGCGGACATTAGGCGTGGGAATAAAAGAGATTTACGGCGCATCTGAAACATTATGTTTAAAACGTGGCGCATGGTATGTGAAAGGTTGGCCACCCCTGCACTATTGTAACCGGTGGTAGCAGTGGAATAGGTCGTGCGATCTGCCAAGTATTTGCCAAAGAAGGCGCTAGTGTTGCAGTTCTGGGCCGGAACATTCAAAGACTTTCTGAAACAATAAATACTTTGCCAACTAATCATGGAAATAAGCACTGCTTAATACAAGCTGATGTTAGCTCTGCTGAGCAAGTAGCAAGAGCTTTTAAAGAATCAACGAGACAGTTGGGCAAGAAGATCACAATTCTTGTGAATAACGCGGGGATAACCAGAAATGGTTTCATTGACGAATTCAAAAACGAAGATTTTGATGAAATGATGGGTATAAATTTGAAAGGATATTTTCTGATGTCCAGTGAATTTGTGAAATTATTATCAGATGTAGACAAAAACCAAGATTTTTGTTGTATAGTCAATGTATCCAGCATGTTTGGCATAAGAGGTTTTCCATCATTTGCTGGATATTCAGCAACTAAATCTGGTATAATTGGATTAACGAAATGTGTCGCATCAGAATACTCAAAACATAAAATACGCTGCAATGCTGTTTTGCCAGGAATGATTCAAACGCCTATGAATGAAGGTGTGCCGGAAAGCTTCAAAGAAAATATTGCTGCACAAACACCAATGCAAAGATTGGGAAAACCCGAAGAAGTAGCGAATGCCTGTTTGTTTCTGGCATCAAATGAAAGTTCATATGTCAATGGGGCTTGTCTGGAAGTTGCAGGTGGATTTTTGGGATGAACGAATTATTTCATATTTTCATTTTATCATTTGTTTGGCGGGTTACGCAATATTATATATATCAAATATATCATCCTATCACTCAGAAGTTTATATTATACTCTTATTATCAAATTATAATTACCCATTATCTACTAGTTGATTGAAATAAATGCTGCAAAATCACCGAGAAAGCTTTTTATATAAGCAAATAGTGGGTGTGGCGTATAACAGTCCAACGCAATTACTCGAATACTCTTTAGTACGCTGTTGCAAATAAAATCAATGATGGCGTCTTTTTAGATAGTTGATAATTTTAAGATTTATTGGGTAAATTGTTAAATATGGATTGATTTAGGGCGAGAACATTTGACATGAATCTGAAACCGAATTCCTAGCAGTCTGTAAAGTTTTGTATAGAAATTTTCCCCAAAATCTAATCAAAAACTCAATCAAAACATAGCAATATTTAGACTGGTAAAAATGTTAAATGTTTATAAATTTATAGAAATTCACACTAATCCCAACATAATTGACCATATTCGAATCTTCTAGTGATCTCGACCGCGGTCTCGAATACAACTGGCGGTCGAACATTTATTACGTCATACAATGCTTTTTTACAGGAGTAGAAACAAATTATTCAATCTAACAAATCGTCCCAGCAATCAATCAATAAGAATATCGCATCCATAAATGAAAGTTTAATTTATAACCTACAAAGCTGGCTGACATATAAGATACGTGATTAAGTATCGGAAAGCATCATTCGTTAAACAATATTTTTTTAAATTATAGAAAGTAGCAACACTTCTATTCAAATATAATGATTCGCTCTATGTGATTATTATAGTTGGTTTTATTCAATGCACAATCGCAACATGTGGTAGTAGGGGAATAGGTCAGACGAGCTGTCAAGTTTTCACCAAGGAAGGCGCTAGTGTTGCAGTTCGGGACCTGACCCTTCAAAGACTTTCTGAAACAATAAATATCTTGCCAATAAATCATGGATCATCATTTTACCTCATTGTAAAAAGGTCTGTTAGAAGGATGCAACTAGTCTGAGTCACTTAAAGCCACTTTACCTATTCAGGGTGCAATGAGCCACTTTACCTATTCAGGGTGCAATAAATTGGGTAGGCAATTATCCCTGAGCCGGAAATCTTTTCATTTTACCAAAAAAAGTAGCTCCTGCAGTATCCACGACTGCTTGTCCAAATTTATTCTTAGAAGGAAGGCATGAGAAAGGCCTAAAAACATGTTGGTGAATATCGAAAATAGGCCGTATTTGTCTAGTTATAAATTTGTGATATATATTTCATAATATTCATATATTTCATCTAATTTTCACAACTTCTTCCTTACTTCCAGTCCCCCTATTACATTGTGATCATAAAATGAAACTTTTCCCGGCTACACTTGTGTTTTCAGTACAAATTGATAATTGATCAAACCCATAAAATACCACAAAGAACAAGACCATTAATAAAACTACATATAGTTGACAGGGTATTTATTGTTTCAGAAATTCTTTGACGGTTATGGCTTAGAATTGCAACACGCCTTTCCTAGCAAATGCATGGCATATCGGGTGACCTATTCCACTACTTACCTCCTTAATGATCTCCACATTACCTGATAGTCTTCCGTGAAACATTTTTACCAAAGGAAATGGAGTGCATACCAGTTTATCAACAAGCAAAATGCCGCCATAAAACAATTCATTTTATATTAATTACCCCACAACTTTCCTTTTTTCCCAGTCTGTAAGGGAGGGGTGTGCAACCTTTACAACCAAAGTGCTGCAACCAAGCACTCGTTTCTTTTTGCTATTGATCTCATGGCATTATTAGGGGTCATTGTAGAACTGATGATTTAGGACGCCCCAAGTTTTGAAGCAAACAGCTATTCATATTTGTTGACACACCGACTTTGACGAATTCAGAAAGAAATTTGCAACAGGCTTCTTTTCCCGACTAATTTTTTTCAAATTTGCTCTGATGAAAGTGCTAGCAATTCGAGGTCCATTTTAAAGGGATCGTCTATTACAGGGGTGCACAATCTTTCTGCTATTGGCGGCCACATTTCATTTATTTATATTCAATACGGCCTCCAGGGGTTTGATGAGCGCGCCTATAGCGCGCGAATTTTTTTTTTATCGCTTTTATGATGTCATAACCGCGTATTTGACCCATGCGAGGTGCAGTCTGCCCGATTATGAAGTATGTAGTACTACTTGGAAGTATAATATTTGCATTATGAACGAATTTTTCTTTTCGGTGGACCTATTCTTGAGCAGATATATTCCAGCAAGTTGCATAATGGTTGCACAATTTTGAAAAAATCGAAAGTCGGAGGGGGGAGGGGCGGTCGCCCCCATTTTCTTGTCCCCAAAAGTATATATAATAAAATGTCAAATATTTTAATGAATTTATTAATCACTGAAAGTTTGCAAAGCATAGCTGCCAAATCTTCTATTTTAAGCCCTTTTTTGTTTATAGGGTTTCGTATGTGAACTGCTGCATTATTTTTTCACTACGGCCGCAGGTTGTTTACCGTTGGTCTATTGGAACCAATCGATAACAAGATTTCATGACGCCCGTTTCAATAAAAATTGTTCGCACAAATGTGTTGAGCCAAAAAGTGCTTTATTTGATGCCATGACTTTTTTCAATTGTGAAAAGTTATCTTTGTTGGGTAATTCTGAATAAAAATCACTAAGATTCATTTCCAAATACTTTGTGCTGCCATATCTGTCTTATTCAAGACTAGATTTAGACGACATTGACCGCTAAAGCCAAAACTCATTCACCTTCTGTATTTCTTAATGTTTAAATTTCAGTCGCCTAACCTTCAATTTCCCATTCTTACTAATTTTTTTATTAGGGCATGCTCTGCACTATCTTCGCTGCTCAGCAAGTGAAAGCTTGGTAAATCGCGTTGTTCGCTTCGCACAAGCTAGCTGATAGGACTTTGTAACGTCATTGGCGCCATAGAGGCATAGACAACTAATTGGACAGGGATATAGGCTGTGCAACGCAAAGAGATTGGAATTGCTCGCACAAACCAGATTAAAAAAAATTCAAAACTCGTTAGGCTGGCACACACCATTCAAAATTAAACGTCTCGCGGCCGCATTTGCCCCATGCACGTTACACATACATGCAGTAAAGTATGAAGACATATTATTTCAAAAATAATAATGTCAATATCAGCAAACAGTTACGAATCCAACGTGAAGATTAAAATACGCCATTAAGGATTAATCTGGTGATGTCGTTCGTCATATGTTCCACGTTTTTAGCCGTATGCTGAGCCAACAAAGAATAAGTTGTAATTTCTATGAAAACATAATAAAAATCTTGTTAAAAAAGATTACGTCGCTAAAGATTGTAACGTACCATGCAAAATATAAACGCTGTTTCAATGTTAACAGGCTTCTAGTTCTAGAATGATCAAGTGGGCGTTTGGACTCCAATCATCATTCAAGTGTAGAGCCGTACCCAGAACATTGAAACGGTGTTAATCACTTGTGAACACATGTTCAAACTATCAGTCGCAGTATATTATTACCATTATGTTACTTGTATGTACTTCTCAATCCACTTATATATCCCTAGAGTAGATCATGTTTCTATTAAATAACTTCACAGTTTTAAAGGTTTATAAGGCCGTATTCTAAATCTGCTATTTATTGAAGTAATTTTTTTCTATTCTTAACATGCGAATCATACATTATATAAATTTCATCAGATCAATCAATACTTTCAATTTTCATATTGAATCCAAGAATGTCTAGCGGCAGTGACATTCACATGATTGTTTCGCGGGATTCATTATATAATCGCTGTATATTTAACACTAGCATGGTTGGCCACGAGGAATTGCCTTGTTATATACTTTTTATCACGGGATTCACATGTATCGACGAGTAAAGATCGCTCCGCTACCTTAGAAGCGTTCCGCATAAAGCATAAACACCGTATATTTTAATAAAAGTTAATATTGAAAATATTTGAATGTTGGACCAGAAACTTGTTCTAAATTCTTTAATATGTTATATCAGTATATAATTCGAATTCTGAGTTTTCGAAATTTTGTTCGATTACGCAGTAAGTGCTATATTTTGTTGTACAAACAGTTTGAATGGGAATATTATTCTTTCAGCTGATTTATTTATTTATATTTAAAATAATTTAAAATCGGGAAGACATTCTTTCCAGGGTTTCCCACCTTGTTATGAAAATGAAAACAGCATTGGATAATATAAACTAAAATTATTATATTATATAATAAACTACATTTTGAATTTGATAACAGATTCATATCAGTCTGTAAGATTTAGTGAAGACTTTTCGGCTCAAACTATCATCAAAAAGTCAATCAAAATGTGGCATTCTCGAATCTGAAATCGTAAACTATACCTGAACCCCAACGAATCGTTCTAATCAATCAATGAGCATGTCGCATTCATGAACGCAAGTTCAATTTATAACATACGAAATTGTCTGCCAAAAAATACGTAACTAGGTTTCTGTAAACATCATTTATTAACAATATTTTCAAAAACTAAAGAAAAAAGGCAACGTTTCCACTTAAAAGGAATTAATCTATGTGTGAGGCTTTCAGTTGGTTTTAATCCGGAAAACACCCAATAATCTTAGTGTCAAAATGTCCCAAGGAAGACTTATAGATCAATGCTCTATTGTAACCGGTGGTAGTAGTGGAATAGGTCGGGCGATCTGTCAAGTTTTTGCCAGGGAAGGCGCTAGTGTTGCAGTTCTGGGCCGAAACCTACAACGACTTTCGGAAACAATGAATACTTTGCCAATAAATCATGGAAATAAACACTGCATAATACAAGCTGATGTGAGCTCGGCTGAGCAAGTAGCAAAAGCTCTTGAGGAAGCAACGAAACAGATCGGAAGAAAGGTTACAATTCTTGTGAATAATGCAGGCATACTCAGAAATGATTTCGTTGACGAACTCAAAGATGAAGTTTTTGATGAAATGATGAGAATAAATTTGAAAGGACATTTCCTGATGACCAAAGAATTTGTGAAATCACTATCGGAAGTGGACAAAACTCAAGAATATTGTTGCATAGTCAATGTATCCAGCCTAGTTGGCATAAGAGGTATCCCAACATCGACTGGATATTCAGCGACTAAAGCAGGAATAATTGGATTAACGAAATGTATCGCATCAGAATATTCGAAACACAAAATCCGCTGCAATGTTGTTTTGCCGGGATTGATTGAAACGCCTATGATTGATTCAATAAGGGGAGATGTTAAAGACAATGTTATTGCACAAACACCAATGCAAAGATTGGGGAAACCGGAAGAAGTAGCAAATTCCTGTTTGTTTCTGGCATCCAATGAGAGTTCGTACGTTAATGGGGCTTGTCTGGAAGTTACGGGTGGATTGTGGGAATGAACATATTATTCAATATTTTTACTTTAGCATTCGTTCGGATATATATTAAATATATCATCTCATCACTTAGAATTTTATATTATACTCTCATTATTAAATTATCATTACTTGTTATACAGTTGCTTACAATAAAAGCTTCAAAATCACACTGATTTTCACTTGAGAAAGCTTTTTATATGAGTAAATAGTGGGTGTGGCGTAACAGTCGAAGCAAATACTCCAATACTGTTTACTATGCTGTTGCGAATAAAATCAATGATGACGTGAAGATTGATTGAGTAAATTGTTAAAACTGAATTGGTTTAGGGCAAGAACATGAATACATCTTGCGGACGCCATGCTCCACTGGTCCTGGCCTTGGACTTGGTATTACGCTTTAAAACTATTATCCCTGCTATACCCAGGATGCAATAAATTGGGTTATTGATGTCGATCCGTCATATTTCACCAAGATATGTAGGTCCCGAAGTATCCACGACTACTTATCTAAAGTTCATTCTCAGCGTAAAGGCACGAGTATGGTGGCCCATCGTTGTCACGCGTAAAATTTGAAAAAAAAATGAAAAAATAAAATGAAAAAACGAAAATAAAAAAATTGTTGTGAAAAAACATAAAAATAATTGAAAAAAAAAAATTAAAAAAAAAAATTAAAATTAAAAAAAAAACAAAAAAAATTAACAAAAAAAAAATTAAAAAAAAAAAAATTGGATTAAAAGAAAATAAAAAGGTTGACAACGATGGTCCGCCATTCAATCCATACCTCGATCTTAGTAGAATATAGTGAGTCGAGGTATGGATTGGAATAAATGGTTGAGCACGGGCGATTTATCATTTGTCTGGATCGATACGTTACGGCTGTACGGTATGGGGCAGGCGCAGAGAGTGTTTCAGTAGTCTATATTCTACGAGACTATCCATATCTCCCATTCTTTCATGAGTGATTGCATGGCTACCGGTACGGTCAGACGCAAAGCGACTATAACCGACTACCGGTATTTGGCAAGACGGTACCGGTACGGTACCGGCATCGCGAGTGTCCAGACAACTGAGTAGTTAAGCAGCATTCTCCAATTAAATTACCTTCCACACGTAAAAACAAATTTTCCGAATTTTCGTATTCAATTCTATATTCTCTTATCATTATTATAAATATATTACTTCTTGTTGAACTTGTAGCATGGAGAATTTATAAAACATTTTCATATTGAATATTGCTCAAGAAAATCAGTGTGAGTTGGAAACCCAGGGAACACATTTGTGCGCGTAGGATTATGCCTGACAACGTTGGTCCCAAGCAGAAGCAAATTTTCTAAAAATAAAAAAGCGTGACAACGATGGACCACGAGGCGGATCATTGTTGTCAAGCTTTTTATTTTCTTTTTTATTTTTTATATTTTTTAAATTTTTTTTTTCGTTTTTATTTTAAATTTTTTTCAATTATTTTTATGTTTTTTCACAACTATTTTTTTTTATTTTCGGTTTTTTATTTTATTTTTATTTTCAATTTTACGCGTGACAACGATGGGCAACCATACACGAAAAATGCGTCAAAAATAACATTTAATAATTTTATCGTAATATGGCAGAAGGCGAACATGGGCCATAGGCGCCTCGCGGACGCCGAGCTTTCCACACCTGGTTTTACCTCAATTTGAAAGAACAAAATCACCAGTATTATCGGCAATATTATACACCAGTACGACTCATGCGTTAGATTTTGGTCAACGAAGACCAAAGTATTTGTATGTTCTACCCCTTCGTGCCAAACAATCATATAAAAACTGACTACGCATTAATGTCTTCAATACGGTAGACGCAAATTCTCTCGCGATTTTGCATGCAATTAATACGTTGTTACTACACATAATTAATATGTTGAAACTTTTCACGACAGTCTGAGAATGGATATAGCATCATAAAAGACTTCATACCGCGTTTCTTATTAATCCCGAACCAAAGGAGGGGGCTTTGTCGTCAGGAGGCTACGTTGTCAGTGAAAGGTTGGAAACCACTGCTCTAATAAAAGGGTCACTGAAAACAAGTTATTACCTCGCTTTGCACAAATGCGCGATGGAATCCAAGAGCAACGTTCACCTTACCTAAATAATTAACTATTGGGTCGACATAAACATATACCGTGTTTTCCCGAAACTAAGACCTACCCTAAAAATTAGACCTATATAGCCTGAATTTTAAGAAGGATTTTAATATAAGACCTAGTTAATAACGCGAATTTATTTGACTTAGTCGATAGCAAGAAATCTTTTCCACGCATTTTAATGATTGATAATCCGTGTTTAGCGGTTATTTTGAATGAAAACGAGTTTTCCATAAGTAAATGGATATCGGTTTTCATATTTTGTATATTTCAAATCTCGTAATTTTTTACTTTGTAATTTTGTTTTTGATAAATGAAAATATAAGACATCCCCCGAAATTAATCCCTAGTGATATTTTTCGCTAGAAAATTGAAATAAGACCCAGTCTTATTTTCAGGAAACAAGGTATATATAACTTCTGAACAATGAGTTTTTTGCGTAATAAAAATGTAGAATATGCGGGGTGTACCAAATTCTGAGAAAGGGTTAAACGGGTGTACCATTAAAAAAAGATAGATGAGCACTGGTCTATAAGAAATTCCACAGCTACCAATAAGCTCGACACTGTGGGCACTACAAAAATCTGATTTTGATGTTCCATTTAACTTGATTGTGTAATTGCACCCAGAGTGAATTTTCATCATTTAATTAAGATTAATTTGAATCATACAATTCAGTTCTAAGGCCTGCCTAGTTTTTAGTTGTAAGTGTGAAGAATTTCTCAAAAAACCTTGCCAAGTATCCATTTTATCTGAACAGCGAAAAATGAGTATTCTCAAACCATAAATGTTACACGACGGCTAAAACTTCAGTATAAATGTAATTTGGAATTTCCTCCATACCCGATTTTAAGGCATACTTCGTCGAATTTAACAGATTTTCCCATTGTTCCTCAGGGTGTGTCCGAATGTGCCCCACAGGTGAGGTGCAATGGGACATTTGACAAACGTTTTTCAAACCCTTTTGGTGGTAACGTGTGTTTCAGTAGAAGATTCTCAGTCGCTGAATAAAAACTACGGTTACTCCTCTCTGCATTAGCCCCACAATGTCAAATGAATGTGCACATTATATAGCTCAAAAAATGTAAAAAAATAGGTTTCCCCTATGTTAATAAAATCATTTAAATTTACATAATTTTTATATTTACAGTTATATCTTGTATTGTTTGAAGAAGTTAAACCATGATCTAACGAAAGCTCACAAATATAATTACTATTTCGTTGAAAGAGATCATGTTATTTTTCTCAAAATCACTCAACATCAGACGCGGTCGACTACTCGAGACGTGGCGATCGACGTGTTCAGGCCACCCCTGATCTATGCCAATGACGTTACAACGCCCTAACAGCTAGCTTGTGCCAAGCGAACGCGAACGCGAATCACACAAAGCTGCTGAGCACCAAGCAATTTAAGTAAAGTGCAGAGCATTGGCCAATAAAAAAATGGTAACAATGTGTAATTGGAGGTTAGGTGATCGGAATGCAGTTTGCAGATTTTTACCATTAAGAGTTCCAGAAGCTAAATAGGTTTTGGTTTTAGCATATCAGTCAATGTTGTCTAAATATAGTCTAGAAAAAGACAGATATGGCAGCAAAGAATTTGGAAATGAATCTTGGCGATTTTTACCGAAAACATTCCAACCAAGATAACTTTCCACATTTAAAAAAAGTCATCGTCTTAAAATATGGCACTTTTTGGCTCAACACATTTGTGCAAACAAATCTTTATTGAAAATCGCGTCATGAAATCTTCTTATCGATTCGTTCTGACAAACGAACATTTCAAATTTCGAATTGCTAGCACTTTCATTAAAGCAAGGTCGGGAAAAGCAGACATCTGCAAATTTCTCTCTGAACTCGTTTAAATTCGGTGTGACAATAAAGTTGAATAGCAGTTCTCAGAAATTTATGCGTCTAACTGATCTAAATACTAAATACTGCCATAAGATCATTACCGAAAGAAAACTATTTTCGTGCCTGCCTACTTCACAGAATGAGAAAATGAAAACGGTAGTGGGGATATTTAATATACCGTATTTCTCGGCGGATAAGTCGCTTTTCTAGACCCAAATTTTTGGCCTGATTTTGGGGGAGTCGTCTTACTAGGCGAGTATGATAATTTTCATTTTTTTGGTGTCGCCTTTATATTCAATACGGGTCATAAAATACCTTCGGCGATAATATCCCCCACGTAATTATCAGGTTAGTTTAAATAAATCGGCATTCTCGCGGTGTGAATCTGGAATTTCAATGCTGTGATTATCATATTTGAAGTTGCAGCATTTGCATCACGAGTGTAGGACTATTATCGATACAAGTGGGATTGCAATTTGTAGAAATTGTCAATTGTTTTTATCAGTGTGATGTCTCATTTGAGCCGTACACATCTCTCATTTCAGTATTTATTCTCAGATATGCTTTTAAATTGCAAAAATACAAATCAAAACAACGTATAATCGTACATGTTTATGTCCAAGGATTGCGTTGGTAATTTGGAGCAGTGATATGTACTATTTATATTGTCGCAATCGTAGATTAAATTGATCACAACTAAATCAATGAAGCAACACATTTTGTTTTGTGGAGATTTCAAAGTGATGAATATGTATTTTTCATATATACACTTTATATGTATATTTATTTATAAAAACTCAATAGAATCAGGTAGTTTATCTCACATTATTATGTCCGCCCTGTTATTTTAGATCGGTAATGTTCCTATATGGTGGACGCAATCGCGAGTTACGTTGAACAGAATTAGATTGAAATTAAAAGACAGTTTGAATTCCGGTAGTTGTTATGGATTAAATATTACGCTACAAGAAAATGTCATTATAGGCTATTTTAACCAGTGCGAAAACGCACCGACCGCTCGAAGGCCTTGGCTGGTAATTTGAGATTTTGATGTTGATGCTATTTTACTACC